CGACTCAATTCCCGGAATTCCGTGCCGGAATTACTTACTTATGCGAGAGGATAATCTTCTGTCACAACACCATGCGTGAGGGTGAGGGCGAACAGTGATTCCGCTACGGAATTCCAGGGAATTCCGTCCGATTCCGGGAATTAAGTGGAGGTTGTATCCCCACCAACCCCGGAATTGGAATCAATTCCAGGAATTCCGGAATCGGACGAAATTCCTAGGAATTCCTGAAAATTCCGTCCAATTCCGTCTCGACTCAATTCCCGGAATTCCGTTTATCAGTTGCATGCATACACTGGAAGTGAGCAATGGTGTTAATACAACGAATAAATGATTCCGGAATCGAACGGAATTACATGGAATTGCATGCAATTCCGTCTAATTCCGTGGAATTCCTCCTTGAAGCGATTCCCGGAATTCCGTTTATCAGTTGCATGCATACACTAGAAGTGAGCGATGGTATTAATGCAACGAATAAATGATTGCGGAATCGAACGGAATTACATGGAAGTCCGTCTAATTCCGTGGAATTCCTCCTTGAAGCGATTCCCGGAATTCCGTTTATCAGTTGCATGCATACACTAGAAGTGAGCGATGGTATTAATGCAACGAATAAATGATTCCGGAATCGAACGGAATTACATGGAATTGCATGCAATTCCGTCTAATTCCGTCCAATGCCTCCTTTATGCGATTCCCGGAATTCCGGTTGGGAATTGGATGCATACAGTCGAAGTGAGCTATTGTATTAATGCAAGGAATAAATGATTCCGGAATCGAACGGAGTTACATGGAATTGCATGCAATTCCGTCGAATTCCTCCTTCAAGCGATTCCCGGAATTCCGTCTGGGAATTGCATGGATACACTAGAAGTGAACTATGGTATTAATGCAACGTATATATGATTCCGGAATATAACGGAATTACATGGAATTTGAAGCAATTCGGGCTAATTCGCTGCGATTCCTGCTTGATGGAATTCCAGGAGTTTCAGAATTAGATGGTATTATTGGAAATGATTCCGGAATTGTTGGGAAATGGTTGATTTGATTCCGGAATTGGATTGAGGTGTTGTGAGCGGAATTGCGGAATTGGATGGAATCGATTCCGGAGCGGAACTGATTCCAGCAATGTGCAACATCGCGGAATAGGATGTATTCTCGTCTAATATCGAGTTGAACACAGTCAATGCAAATCCTATTTCATTAACAGCTGCCTGGAGGTATGGACATTTTAATTTATTCATATAATGGTGCGATTATTCTGACGGTTATTGTTGGATTAGCCGTCGTGACCACAACCGTAATCCTATGTGTCATTTTTTTGAGAACAGATACATGACCAACATTATCAACAATAAACTCAACTGGTAGGTTCATAAAAGAATAATTTAAGTGCAGATGATAGAATTAATGTTTCGAAGAAGGCAGGCAAATAAATTATTGTCCAGTTATTATTGGGTTTTGTCTCATTGTGTTAAAATTGAGATAACAATGCACGCAAATTTATCTTATTCAAGTTGATATTTTTCAATTAGTTTAATAGGCTAATCTCGAATACCTAGAGAAGGATAAATAACATAAATATTCAACACAATTAATGAAAACTAGCGTTTTATTAGATGAAAAACAACTTGAATTTCACTTGAAATATAACGAATGCTTCTTAAATCGT